GCGTCGACCATTTCTGGCCGGCAACTTTCAGCATCATTAAGCCGCTGCGCCACCGCGTCCCCCTGTTCTAATCTAAGAATCTAATTCTATTAATTAGATTCTAATAATCTAATGCTATGATGTCATTTTATGCTTATACGGTGATTTGCCAACTTCAGCTACATATATATAGCAGCATATGAGTCTGTTTTACTTCATATACTACCCATGTAGAAAAGATGAATCATACTGTAAAATTAGGATAGTATGAAAAGCTTCTTAAAATGAACTATAAAGTAGAATCATACAGTTTACTACTACACTGCAAATATTGGATCTGATTTAGAAGAACTTTAAAGCAGGCTCATCACAGCTTTAAAGTATATAACATTATAATGCCTTGTCACCCATTATCTCAAGTGACTTCTTGTAGATGTTACTAGTGGAAGCAGTCTCTGCCACATCTATCTATGCCAGCATTTGCTGTCCCAGTTTAATATTTCCTTTCAAAACATTTTTAAATCAATTTCTCTTCAGGTTTCCAGCCACCTAAGAGAGGAAAACAGACCTTTACTACTTTACTTTGGGAAGAAGGAGGAGGCATAATGGTACATTTAAAATAGTGTGTGTGTGGGGGGGGAGTTTTTACATGCAGCACCCCCATTTTTCTTCAGTGCAGTGTCCTGTAAATAATAGATGTTGACCTGACTTTTATTTATTCATGATACTTGTAGATACCCCAGTTGTGAGATTCTGGGTGGTATTAAGGTAGAAAACAAACAACAGATTAAAGCAAAATAATAGAGTTCCATCTTGTATGTATCTATCAGTCTGGTTCAAAAACATAATGGAATAAAAATATTTTAACCACTTTGCAGAATTCAAGGAAGGAGGTTGCTACTTATATCTCTAGGGGAAACATGTTCTAATCCAAGCCATATGTACTTCTCATGGAGTTGAAACTTTCAGAAGCCCCTGTTGAGATTATTGGACAGGATGGGCAGAATCAGTTTTGTCAAGGGACCTTGATGAACATGCATGTATTGGATCTGGTTTAGAAAATTCTTTTATTATTTGCCAGTTTTATCTGTTTCTCAGTGGAGCAGAGCAATAGAAGGATTGTAGGTAAGTTTATAGAATGTATGTGTAGGCCTCCAGTTAGAAATAATGGTTTGTGAACTACAAGACAGTATACATATGACAGAAGGCCAGCTAAGGGGCAACTGCTCTAGTACTTATCCACTGTAAATTATATTAAGATTATGTGCATAATTTTTATTATAATTACCATTTTTGGTACTTTCCAATCATTTCCTTAACTCTGTCATAGTAGTTGTATTTGATGCCCGATGAAGAGAACAGAAGATGCATCTAATTAATCTGAACTTATGTTTATTCTTCATGTATTGATTTTGTTTAAGCAAGTACATTCTCCCATTTTGGTTCTTGCAATAAAATTGTATCCAAATGTTTTGTTGACTCTTTGTTTAGAAGTGAAATTTGAACAGATTTAAACTTACAAGTTATAGGGCGATTGTACAATCTAATTAAAATGACTAAACTCTGTTTGGTTTGAAATGAGAGAAGGAAGGTTCAGCATCAGTGTGGAGGAATGTAGTGTCAGGCTTGGAACATAAAGATTCAGATCCTCCAGCCATTAAGCTCACAGAGATACCCAGTCATTTCCTTTCAGCCTTATTTGACAGGCTGGTTATAAATATAACAGTGTATGCCCAATATTCACCTTTTGGGGGAAACAACATCATGCAAAGTACAGAAAAAATATATCAGTATGTGTATATATGCTATTTTAATTTCTTGGAAAATGAAGGCTAAAATATGACAGAAGAAAGGATTTAAAAGTGGGAACTCCTCTACAGAAATTTGAATTGATTTTTATAAGTGTTTTGTTGAATAGAATACAACAGTTCCCCCCCCCCTTCTCTTTAACTCTACTGAAGCAGCTTTAAATACTTTAGAATAGTTTCAGATGAACAATTAGTGCTTACTGCTATAAGTGAAGAGATAGGTTAGCATAGAGAATACCTATTGTAGGAAATTGGGTCTGATGCTGTATCATAATTTCCAATAAGCAGATGGAAGAACTCAGTCTGATTTCCCACCTGCTTTGCATTACTTATGTGAAACCTGGTTATCTTTCTTGGATGTATTGAAGCAAACGCGGCCCCTCCGGGTATTTAATACTTAATCCAAGCTACGTTTTGTTCTGCTTAACGACTTAATGTGCTGGTGACGCTGATACCCCTTTGTTTCATGTTCCATTCCTTTGCTAAGCTGCCTTGCGTGGAAGGAGAAACGGGAAAGAATCCGCAAGCTCAATAAAATATTCAGTCGACTCGTACTGTGTAAGATGATACGCTCTTCCCTTCATTTTAAAATGGGGGCGAGTGCCTTCTTTCCCACGCGGCGTCTTTCCCAGTGTCGCCATAGCGACCGTCCAACGCCGCCACGCCCCCTCCTCCCTGGAGGGGAAAGCGGGGGGCTTTCCACGCATGCGCTTCAGGTACCGAGTATCTCGCCTAGAGGGAAAGTGCTTTCTGGCAGTCGAGCGGGTCAACCGGCGGAGCCTCTCAGGTGCGAGCGCGTGGGGGTAACTGGCTGCTGACGTCGACGGCGGAGGGGGGGGCGCCCGTCTCGCACCATCTCTTCTGGGACGGGACTGTTGAGAAGCGGCGGGGGGGCGCTCGGCTTTTCTTGAAACAGGTACCAGTCCGAGAGTGGGGTAGCCCGGGAGACGGAGTCAGCGAGAAGGGAAAGGGGGTGGGATGCAGAGGAATCGGGACGGGACTGTTGAGAAGCGGCGGGGGGGCGCTCGGCTTTTCTTGAAACAGGTACCAGTCCGAGAGTGGGGTAGCCCGGGAGACGGAGTCAGCGAGAAGGGAAAGGGGGTGGGATGCAGAGGAATCGGGACGGGACTGTTGAGAAGCGGCGGGGGGGCGCTCGGCTTTTCTTGAAACAGGTACCAGTCCGAGAGTGGGGTAGCCCGGGAGACGGAGTCAGCGAGAAGGGAAAGGGGGTGGGATGCAGAGGAATCGGGAAGAGCGGGAAAGTTTTTGGGGGATACCAATAGGGACAGTTGGAGGGTGCCAGCGGAGGAGGGCTGCCCGTGAGCGCCGTGAACACGGGTTTCGTTTGGGGAGGGGCAGGGCAGGGTGACGGGGAGCTGAGGCAATACTCGCCTTCCATTTCCATCCGCCTTTTCTTCCGTGTCTTGGATCGTAGATGTGATTGAACGGCAACTCCCAGCATCTCTTGCTGTTGGCGTTGTTGGGAATTGTAATTGAGGGGGAACAAAGGGGCCTCATCCTGGCCTTGGCTTAAAGGCCTCTAGAGCGGTGTTTTCCAAACCTGGCAACTTTAAGAGGGGTGGACTTCAACTCCCAGAATTCCCCAGCCAGCGTTGTGCTGGACTCCTTCCCACTTTTAAAAATGATGGAGGACCTCAAAAGAGCTTTTGCTTGTATGGGTTATATTTGTCGATGTTTACCATATTAAAAATTAAAATTGATGTATTCACTGCTGCTAACCACTTCTCACAATTGTTTGATAGGATTTTAATATTGTGTTATTTTTCAACATAGGCTGGCAAACAATTTCAAGTTTGCGGACCCCTGAGAGGGTCTTGGTGCACCCCTGGGGGTCGTAGGTCCAAACTTTAAGAAACAGTGGATTAGGTTAACAGATTTTGTGAATCTCAGGAAGCCATATTTTTCAGTTTAGTACATAGCAACAGTTGCTAATCATTTGGAAAAAAAGGCTGCTATATCATTTTATAACGACAGAGGGCTTTTACATGAACATCTTCCCTCTTAACGAAAACTGTGCCTTGTTGCTACTCTTTATACATTTCTCCTGGGTTTTTTTGTGTGTGTTTTAGAGTTCACTGATAAAAACAAAGTGGGGTAAGTTGTGTATAAGCATTAATTCCAGCAAGATGCATGAAATCTGAATTTTAAAGATTTGATTTGACTAGAAAGGGGAGATGTCATTGGCTTTCAATTTTTTATTGTATCACTTGTAATGAAACAATTTAGCTGCTTTTTGAGTGAAGGGTATGGCTTGTGCTAGAATATACTTTAACATATCATAATGTAATTCCAAAGAAAACCAAAAATAATTTCCAAGATGGTCATTTACTATGTTTAAAATTTTGTAGCACAAAATACTAGTTGTAGAGTGATAGGCGCATTTGCCTGATGTGGCAAAATACTGTAACATGACATGTTATATGTTACAAAATATAAATGGTTATATGCAAAGATGTATTATAGGAATCAGTACTCCTTTGATTTAAATCAACTGTGTAATTGAAGAAAAATGAAGATTTCCCATTACATTTCTCCAGTTAAGTTACATTTCTCCAGTTACATTTTTCTGCAGTTACGCAGTTGATTTAAATCAAAGTACTGATTCCTATAATACATCTTTGCATATAAAACCTATTATAATTATCTTATGGGTAAAAATCTCTTGTGATGCCAGAGTGGACAAAGGGAAAAAGTGATAATTGAGCGGTATTTTTCAGCATGAATAACTTATTCAGTAAATGATGAAATTCCAAAGAGCAACTGGATATTTTTACACTCTGGGTTTTGCAGTCATAAAATTAAAATGAGCTATTTAGCCCCTAAAGTCCAATATACCACTCATTGTGATAGCTACTCTAGTTGTCCGTAAATAGCAAAAATGAATTTATAAACCTGTTTTTCATTTTTATTTCTTTGCTTGCTACCATCTCATGGGCTTAACTTAAGGGCAGAATAATATTAAAAATAATAGTTTGATAAAATTATGAAATATCCCTTTATTTAAGGGATTTAAATATCTTTGCAACATCATCTATAATGTGATTTGAAAAAGGTGTGCTTTTGGCAGTAGAATAGATTTCTTTTTTCTTCTGAGCAGCCATAAATCTGCTCCAGAAGATTCAATGACCTTTCAGATCATATTTAGGGGGTGCAGAGCAGGGATAGAAGGAAAAAAACCCTGTAATATCAGTATTAGTCTAGCTGTCTATTGTTGAATATAGGCCAACATTATCAGATGTCAGGTTATTATCACCAATACTGGAATCTTTGAATAGTTAATATATTTCCTTAGGAGAGTACATTATATCTTGATTTAATATCATAATTCTAAAAAATTCTGGTTTCTTAGAAATGCAGGCAAGTTGGTAACAAATTATCATTCTCACTTGGTTTCTTTTGTGAGTTCCTTCATACTTAATAGAAGTGTAGAATTTAAAATACTGTAGTTCTAGTCCCAGAAATGGTTCTGTTTGATGATTTCAAATAAAAAAGCTGGCATGTATAAAAGAGGTACATGAGGAAAGTCTGAAAGTATTTTGCCTTATGTTTCTGTTCTCTTTCCCATCTCATATTGTTTTATTTAAATTTTGTTTTAATTATAAATTCTTTAAAAATCAGACAATGTGATTTTCTGGATTTTTTCCCCCATTTTGTCTCT